TAGTTATAAACTAATTAATCTTACATATTCAATTATGTCAACTGCATTCCAGTACTTAACATTCACATTTGTAAACCACTATCAAATTACATAAGACATTTTAATTAACCGAATTCCCTTTCTTTTAAATATTTTAAATCATTTAAGCACAATTCATTTCCCATTAATTACAGTAAATAAAATTCCTTTTATGCTAATTAGTTTAAGAATAAAAAATTACCCTTACTTGAGAACAAAAACAAAGAAAATAATATAAAGACAGCTCACAGTAGGATTTCATTAAAAAAGTATCAGTAAGTCTTAGCAGAATCAGCCATCTCCCTATGATTTTCCCAAGGCAAAATATCAGTCTCTGAAGAGAAGAATGCATTTGCACCTTGCACTAAGTTTAGGATCCTCAAATTTAAATTTGTCATCTTTAGCAAAAAATGGTACGATAAAAAACAAGGCTAGCTTTTTCATAGGTGTCCAAGAAATAAAAGTAAGAAGACAATGGAGACCAAGGATACCCTTAAGAAGTAACCATGACAAAATAAGTAAATCAAGATTTTTCTTCAATGGAAAACGGGCATCTTAGTCCAATATGCTCAAGCTGAAATTCTTCACTTTTTCTCTCTTTAGCAAAATACCTTCTCCTTCTCAATAGTCGACCTAGCACTTTCTGGTCGAGAGACAAGTAGAACCATAACTTGATTAAGCCTCCACAGCTCATAAGCCAAGTGAAGCTACTTCTTTTCTTAAAAATTTGAATAAAATGAAAACAATCCTGTTTCTGCCTAACATGCAACAACTTTTAAAACCTCAACTTCTCAGAAATAAAGATTGCATCTAAATCTACCATTTGCTCAAATTAGTTATAAATTAATCTCTATCCATTCAAATCCTTTCTTAAAATTTCCCCCAGCTAATGAATAAAGGGTTGACTTACAGTGATTTTTTCCAAGATAAGAAGTCTAATCTCTCCAACTGCACCAAATCCTGTTTTCATGCAAAATTTCAAGAAATGTTTCCAACAAGCTTCTGTCAAAGCTATAGCACTAGCAGTAATAAAAAACTCAGAAAAGTTTACACTTAAAACGAAGCCAAAATTTAGCACATCTTGACTCAATCTCAACACATGTTCAGTGTTGAAAGTTAAAGAGGAAGGATCAGTAGCTGTCTGTTGCTGTCATGCTGACCTTTGAACCCAAGTGAGTGGCAGCAAGGAAAAAATCACCTGCTTCTAGATAAACTATATTTTTCAATAGCTTTTGAAAAAATTGTAACACATTTAGAGAAAACTGTGCTTATGACATTAGATTATTAAAATCATTGTGAATTAGTACATAACAAAAAATTTATATTTAAAATTTTTCTCATTGTCTTTAATTATCTATACAATTTCCTAACCAATTCTTTCAAATGAATTACATATCTTAACTAACCAGGTGATATAGCCAAGGATGATTACTTTTCTAGGCATGCATAAAAGTCCCTGATACTCCTTTCACATGTTTATAAAGTAGATACTTAACCCCCTTAACTAGTTAATTTTTTCACCTGAAATGATTCTAAAAAAAAAAAAAAAAAAAAAAAAAAAAAAAACATATAATTAAATGCTATACTTCATAGAATATAAATATGAGCTAATTTATTTTGTAACTTTCATTATTAATGTTTTTGAATCATTTTTAATTTTAAAATTTTAAAACAAAATTATCCCTAAATGTTTGCTTTTCACAATTACACTCTGTATGTAATGAAAACAAGTAATGCAATGAAAAACAACAAGTAATGCAGTAGAAATAAATTTACAATATTTCTCAAAAATAAACTTATTTGAGAAAAAGGTTAAATAAAAAGTTCACTCTTTTCAGAGCTAATTTTTTTCATAACTTTTAACCTTTGTGTGTGTGTGTGGTACAACTTGAAGCATGGTGTAATGCAGGGTTTCTTAAACTTTTTGATATGGGGATCCCCTAATATTTACGAAAATTTTGTGGGACTCCATAAAGCATTGTGCAAATCTGACACATGGGTGAGTGAAACTGTCACTTTCTTCACTTGTACTGTAATATACTATTGCAGTTTTAGGTTATTGTCTTTATTTTTTAAAGTAAAATGAACGTTTCTATTATAAAAAAAATGTGTTAAAATTTTTTCGTTTTTTCTTTGTCTGTATTGTATTGTTTTATCTTTATCTATTTTCAGATACATTATGTAAAAAAGTTGGTAATTTTAAAATCATAATAAGTTAAAAAATAACAAAATTGCTAAATTTTTTGTGACCCCTTACTGTAAGTCCTGCAACCCCAACCCACAGTTTAAAAAACTGGTGTTATGTTGCATTCAGGACAGAAATAAAGCCTTTTTTTTAGATTCTAGTTCCATTCTCATTCCTTTTCGAACAGCAAACTACACATCACTTTGTGAGCCTAAGCTTTTATCTGTGGGTGCAATAATTTCTATAAATTGCCCTTCTGTTAGAGAATTAAGTTCAGAACCTAGTGGTTCACATTTGATATTTATTCCAGAATGGTATTTTTCAGTAATGCAGTCAATAAGATCAAGTGCAAACTCTAACTCTGTGTTATTACCCACTTTCTTATGGTAGACAACTGATATCCATACAGTGATATTAAAAATATGAGAAAAAATAATTTTGTAATATTTCTTCCCTTTTTCTTCGATAATTTCAGAATTTTTTTAATTTTGATCCATGTAGTCCATTTTATTCATAGTATTACTATAATCCATTACAAGATTGGATTTTTTTTTTTTTTTTTCCTTTTCTGAAAGGGCTTGAATTTATTCCATTCGAGGATTGTGAACAGTGATGAATTTTTTTTAATCCATCCATTTCATTACAATAACTTTTCCTCTCTGAAAAGATTTCTCATTCCTATGATTTCTCATTCCCCCCCCCCAGTTTTCATAATTTCATTTCCTTTGGTACTTCCCTTCTCTTCAGGTTTAGTATGCCATAAACCTGAAGAGAAGGGAAGTATCCATTCAACATGAAATAAGTTTGTCTGCTGATTTCAGTGAAAAATAATAATTGTCTGCAGTAAGACAGTAATCTTTATGAAGCAATGAATAATCATTGTAAGATCAACTTGTAACGAAATACAAAGATCAAAATACTCAGGCTTCAGAACTGAATCTAATTCAGTATAAATTGTAATAAACCACACATAAACGGATATCGATTTGCACAGCATAAAACATTTTATTCCAAATCTAATTCTTTTTATGGGAATAAACTACTTTCATCCTAGTCATCCCTTGAATAGCATAAAGCTCTCATCTATTGCAACATCTTGCATTAGCATCACTGTCTCTCTAAATTTCTCATTTAGATGCTTGGTAACTGGTCATATTTTTGACAATTTGGGGCATTCGTGATTTTAAAGATCAAATGCTGAATTATTAGAGATATGCAAGTAGCATAGCAGAAGAAGGAACCGATGATGAGATATTATTTTAAGGAAAAAAGGTGTATTTGTGGAATGTATCTTGCTCCAGTAGTGATAAATTCCAGGTTTCTTCACAATTCTTTAAAGTATATTTAGAGTGAAAAATAAATGTATCTGTTGCAAATTTGTTTCTTCACAAAATTTACTTCTTGAGAAATGTAGCACTCAATTCAACTGTCTGTATCTCAATATACTGTCTGGCATACATTTTTGTCTATTCAATGATTTTGTCCATTAGAAACACATAAATAAAATTGTAAAACATCTGAAATATCATCTGCATGCATACAGGTAGAATACCGGTATAATCTGCATACATACAGGTAGAATAATAGTATAATTAAAACAAAGGATTTTCCCTGTCAAATTCGGTAAAACTTCTAATGAACTCAAATTTTTACCACAGTTGAATTCACTACATGAGTTATATGAAGAAGAATCCAGGCAACCAAAAGACATCTCTGAATCTGTATCAGAATTCATTTCATCTTCTAGCAACAAAGTATTTTCATCATATTCTCTCATAATTCGCTGCAGGAAAAAAATTACGTAAGATAGTTTTTAATTTAAAAGCCTTGTCTGCAACAAAGTGAAAGTTTCATGAGGAGGAAAAAATTCCAGTTCATGAATGAAACCTTTGCAATAACATGAAGAAAGTGTGCCCTCTATTGAAAGATATTGAATCTAAATAGTTTATTTGCATAAGTATTAAAAATACGAGAAAATAGGGAAAAAAAAAGGAAACTCAGAAAATACCAATTCCTGTATGCTGTATGGCAAAGCAGTTGGAGTCAACTTTGAGTAGGCTGTACACCATATGTGAAAATCTGTTAAGGAGTTAATAAAAGAAGTTTTTCATTGTGACGACAATGCTCCTCAATCATCAATCAAATTAACCGATGGCGAAATATCTATTATGGTTCTAGATTCAGAAAATACTGCTACCGATATTGAAGAAAGTGACAGAAAGGTTAATGAAAGCGAAAAAAGTTTGATTGACAAGTCAATCGGGATTCTAGACGCAGCAATTACAGGACTTCAACAATGGACCTTTGTAACTGAACAAGAAATTATGTCTGTCTATAGAATTACAAGAAAAAATATCAGCATAAACAACATGAAGCAACTTGAAAACTTTGAAAAAATTTAATAAAGGGAAACAAATAAATATTAAGTTTTTTACCTAAATTTTTATACCCTTTAGATCATAAATGCTTCATTGTTTCATAAATCACGATTTCATATTTTAAGTTTATTATTTCTACATGCCATCTTACTAGATTTAAACTGATGATCTAATGTCCAGAAAAATCCGGAATCCGGAATCACGGAAGTCCTGACAAGTCCGGATCTCGGACTTCGTACTGTATTTGCGTTATTCCACTCCAAAGAGAAAAAAGATTTGATTAAATTCAGTTAAAAAAACTATCCATAACATATAAATAAAAAAATGTAACAAATACGTAAGCAAAAAAAAAAAAAAAAAAACTCTCTGTGTGTGAAAAGATCATATAACAAAACATTTACAAAATATATTTTGCTTACATTTATCATCTGCCTTGTGAAATTTGTGTTTTTTAACAAATTCCCGAAGGAATTTGCATTTTGAACCTAAAGGAAGCAATCTTTCAAGAATATCTCTTTCAGCAGGATGGATATTTGGAATGCAAGAAGAAACCTGGAAAGGAAATAAAAATTTAAAAATAGATTAAGACACAATAACAGTGAATATGATTACACTATTCATAAGCTACAGATAATTTAACTAACACTGAACTATGACCAATATTAAAAGCACTTTTTGCAGGCTAAAAAACTTTGAAAACAATAGATATGTACACTGACAACCTTGGACAGCAATACATGAAGCAACACGTCTAGGTACAGAGTCAGTGAGACTACAGCTGTATAGTCAGTGAGACTACAGTCAGTGAGACTACATATCCAGAGGAATGGCTCACCATTTGCCACAGTTTGTCTTCTGAACGTGGCAATGGCAGGGTCTACAAATGGCATCCAATTACATCCCAAATAAGTTTGATTGGTGAGTGATCAGGAAAAAATGCTGCCCAAGGAAGCATCTGTACACTTTGCAGAGCACGTTGGCTGATGCAAGCAGTGTGTGGTCAGGCCTTATCCTGCTGATAAAGGACATTGGGCACTCTCTGAAGGTAGGGGAGTGTCACTGGCCACAGCACATCATCCATGTATCACTGGGTCATCATAGTGCCCTGAAGATGAAGTGGAGAGGACCTGGAATCGTACGCAATTGCACCGAAAACCATTATATTGCATGGTGGGGGATTCCACAATTGCTGCCAGACTGGACTTGTCTCCACATAGATGCCACACTCGTATGTGGAAACTATAATTGGAGAAACAGAAGCATGACTCATCTGAGAACACGACCCTGTGCTATTCCATCGTCCACATCGCTTGAGCCCAACACCATAGCAAATGTCGGCATCTATGATGTGGTCAATGGAAATCTTCTTAACGGACGCCATGAGTGCAGGCTACTAGCCACCAATCGATGGCAAATGGTTTTGGTTTATATGGGAACATCCAGGGTGGCTTGACATTCTGCAGAATGGGGGTAGAAATGGCTTATAGGCTTGTCAGTGGTCGACCACTTGTCAGCAGATGTGTCACTCTGGCTGCATCCTGAAACTTGCCACATCTCCTTGTTCCAACCATCATCGCCACAGCCAGTGCACTGTGGACGAATCCAGATGTGCATCAGCTGAGATTTACCGTATATACCAAACAGCTCTTCTCAGTCTGATTACCATGCCCCTCATAAAATCGTCTGTCTGCTAGAACTGCCTCTGTTAACAACAGCCTGACATTCTCTGCTATTACATGTGTCTTTGAGAAACAGAAATAACGGCATGAAAATTTAACATTCTGTCTGTTCCTTCCCTTACATCTTCAATGTGGGCTCAAGAGCAGTGCATTTCACATAATTCACATAACTCAGTTACATGCATCTACCCTGAAATTTGCATAATTTTCGGGCCTTCTTGGTGTTGCATTTTCAATGCCGAGTAGTGTATATCAAATATTTGTAATTTTATTTTTTAATATTTTGGGAGGTATACAGTTCATTAATTATTTATTAAAAACTGTAAATTTTCATCTTTGAGTTGATTAATGCAATTATAACTTAGTCATTTTAAAATTTTGAGAAGTAACAAAGTCTAATCAAATGGAACAAAAATCTACATTTTAATTGACGGTTTAGTAAATCATTTGTACAATTTACAGATAATGTAAGACTGCAGAGTAAAGCTGCTTGAATTTTAACCTTCAGATAGAACTGATGAGAAGCTGGCTAACAAATTCAGTAAAGTAGTGAGCGTATTCAGCCACATACAAAAAAGGTTCTGGATAGAAATCTTAGCCATAGACCATTCATTATAACTGCTGTTAAAACAGAATCTCTGATGGTTGATTGGAATTCTTATTGACTCTGCATTTCAGCCTCACATTATGTTGAAGGGTGGGAATGTAAAAATACACCCTATCTGACCATTCCTGTCTCAAGTTCTGGAAGAAACCACTGTCTAATCTGCAAGATAAAAGCTGTAAGAAGTTGGTTATATATTTATATTAGCCACCCAGACGGCATAGTGGTTACGGAAGCCTACTGCAGTACCGAAGGGCCCGAGTTTGAATCCTAGAGATGGTTTAACTGTCCATACCTTCACAAAAAATAATGGTGGCCACCTACTAGGTGCTTTTACAGTAAAATGTCTACCACTTCTGGCCTTAGGAGTGGCCAATGTTGAATAGGCAACTGCCCACCACTGGATTAAATATATATATATATTTAACAGCTAAAACATAGAAATCAGACAGTGTGCAAATTATCTAGGTAATCTGCCAATTAATTAGGCTAATTAGCTCTAGATAATCTGCAAATTACCTATTAGGCACTCATTAATGCAAAAATAAGATTTTTGGTTGAATAAAAGCAACATTTTTGTACATTTTAATCAATACTCAGATAAACAAATCAGTAATGCCATGGCATTTAAGTTTTACTAGTGAAATGTAATTTAGTTTCTTTCTTTCCTTTCTACCTCTTTTTGCCATGAGGTTTGTTCATTCCAGAATTTCTGTAAATCTGAGTAACAAGCATTTTTACTGGAAAGTTTTTTCTAAGCTGTAATGTATGTTGGAATGTTAATTTTGAAAGACATTAAGTGTTCTGAATTGTGATGTATATTCAAATTTTAAATCTAGAAAGATCACAATTTAACTGTTTGAAACTGTAGCTAAATCTACAGCCAAGCAAATTTGAGCAAAAGATGAAAGGTTAGACCATAGGGTATATTTTGCAGTACTACAGTGCTGTCGAGAAGATGAGAGTAGTACTAATATGATATATGAATTCAGTAGGAGCAGTTGCAGGCAGAAAAGACATCAGATACAATATCTCATTTTTAGAACAAATGCAATGACTATAGATAAAGATTAGGAAAGATTTTACCCAATTAAAATAAAGATAAATGGTGGATAAAAATAAAAGGGTTGTAGTAAAATAAATAAATATGTTATAGTGAAAAGCATTATTAGTGTGCTCAAATACTAAAAGATGCCTTTTTTCTTAAAGGTTAAACTGAAAAGATGGATTATGTAAGATTTTAAATAAGAAATCAGACTTAAATTTAAAAAAAAAAAAAATGTAAACAAGCTACGAGTATTAGAATTGCAGGTTTTAATGCTTTTCAGAAAGGCCATCTGAAGACTTTTATTCAAAGTTCATCTTCTGGGTGGGGCAAATGTGATATTTATAAGTTTTACTAGCAAAACATTATTTACTTCTTTCCTTTCTGTCTCTTTTTGCCCCGGGGTTCGCTCATTCCAGAATTTATGTAGATTTGAGTGGCAAGCAGTTTTACTATAGAGGGATTACAAATATGTGGGTTTTGGCCTGCTGTCTACTGCTGCCTTGCTGAGTAAGTGTAGCACAGTTATGCTGGTTTGGATGTAGATATTGTAGATTGTGGTTAGATACAGATTTGGCAAGTCATGTGCTTTTCAGCTTCTGTCACAGTCTAAGAGATGCTTATAGCATTTAGTCAAGTTAGATTAAACTGTTAAATTTACAGCAATTATGGAAATAGTTTGTATTTGAACCAGGTCCAGTTGGCTAGTAACTTTATGTTTGTACATTTTAATGTCTGTTTACTTAGAGAAATTCTTGTAATGATAACTCCTTTTGGAATTTAGATAACACCTTATTTTTATTGAAAGATAAATAAATAGATGAGTTACTTGTACCCATAGCAGGTGTTACAATATTAGGTACTTACTCCTAATTGAAAAACACATATTTTTATTCCATTAAGTATATTGTTACTTTTTTTTCTGACACCAGCTGTTGCATTATTTTCTTCCTTTGGTACATTCGTTACGGGCTTCGTGCGGATTTCGAGTGAATAATGACAACACTACTTGATAAAGTATAGAAACACACTTGATTGGCCAGTAATTTTATGACCACTGCAAAATCACATTTTACAGTCGTCAAAGATCTACTATAAACACGCTGACTCAATCAGCGACACAGCCTCCAGGTTATCAGGCTATAACAGCGGAGACAGCTTCACTGCAAAGCAGAGGACAGCTCCTGACTTGATCGTTCTTGGAACTCTGCGTACTTTAGAGACTCTCCATGCTACAACTCGCGATGCACTTAGGAGCTGTGCTCGGATCAGTCGTTGCCGGAGCTCAACACACTCTCTCGATGATGCACTAACCGCCATACACTAGGAGACTCTTTCTGTGCACTCGACGACCCACTCGGCACTTGCTGGCCAGCTATCAACTCGATCGACTGCGCACGGACTGACTAACTCATGACAATCTCGTACTCACTCTCTGTGTAGGAGCAGGGTTTATATAGTTTTTGGCTTGTGTTCGAGAACATTTTGGGCTAAACCGGTAAGAATTCGTTCCAGAAGGTTCTCCATCTGTCCATGGCATATCGCCAATTTTGTCGTCAAACAGGCGATTTCTCACCAAATGTGGCAATCCTGCCTTCCCTTGCTGTTTTATGGCAACCCTAAACCTGCTTTGCGGAGAAGCTATCTGACCACGCCTGTACATTTCGTAACACTGCCCCCTCCCAAGGACTGCACGTCCCGGGCAGTACAATCCTTGGTCAGAAGCATAATTCGATACAAACAAATAACATAACTAAAGAAACCTTTATACTACATACAAATTTTACACAGAAACTAGATAAGAAAACTCATGCACAATAATTATGAGCAGGGTTGTGGAATCGGAGTCATGGAGTTGGACAGATTTTGGGGTAAAAGGAGTCGGAGCTGGAGTCGCCTAAAACAATTCGACTCTGACTCGGACTCGAGTTTTTGTCAGACAATTTGAATTTGAAATGAAATTAAAATGCATTGAAAAAAATTAATGACAACCTAAGTTATTATTTTTATTTATGAACTATATACATTAATAAATAGTTATTTTCTATTTTATTGACATATTAATAAATAAAATATAAGGAGGATGGATGTGATATCTGCCATTAGTGATTAAACTGATTCATTTAGTTACAAATCTCGCTGGTAAATTTAGGTAAACAGCAATAGCAGCAAGAACTCCCAAAATTGATGCCATTCTTAGGAAGCGAGCAGGAAAAGGAGCAAT